ATACACTAAGTTCATCATCATGGTAATACACTAAGTTAATCATCATGGTAATTTCCACAGCGTGTTATCATCCGTCCCATCCATTGTATTGGAACTTAGTGTATTACCATGATGATGAACTTAGTGTATTACCACATATAAAATTTTGTAAAATTGACACCTAAAACAAAATTTCAATGAACGATTTCCAGAAATGTTTAATACACCGATAGTTGTTTACTGTATATAGAAGTTATTCAATACATTTCATGCAGATGATGTGTAAAAAAAAATTTTCTTCAATTTAACTTTTCAAAATTGGGTGTGTGCATCATATTTGGGGGCGCATGATATTTGGGGGGGTGCATTATGTTCAGGCAAATATGGAAGTTAACTTTGAAAATTGAAAAATGCATTTCTTGTTGATTATAGTGGAAAGCTTGTATTTTTACTGCCACTCAGCCATAACTTTTTAATGTATTGGTCTTGTACCTGATGTAGTTTTAAGTAGATTGAATGTGCTTTATACGACTTATGACGTACTGCAGACATGAGCTGAAATCGTAGCCAATGACGTTGGTATTTTGTCAATTACAACTTCTTGTTTATCCCGGTGTATCAGTGCCAAATCTGAGGCCTTATTACATTAAAATTCAAGGTTCAATATTCGTGATGAGCATAACATCTCGTGCAGTTTTGTGCTTGAAACAAACCGTAAGATGCGGTTTACTTTTATAAAAAAACTTTCCTTAACTGAAAATGGCCGGTGCTTTCCCTCGAACATGTACACTAACTTCCCTAACTAAATAGGCTTGCTTCATCCATATCTTTTACTTTGCTTGTGTGTACTCGCAAGAACCAGCTATACGATGACTTTACAAAACATTTGGTATTGGCATATTTTCATTTACATTGTGTTGCAACAAGAAGAGAATAAATCAATTATTCATTAAATGGGAGGAAAATATAGTCTGAATACGCTGCAAACGACACTTGACAACACAGTAGGAATCAGGAAATCAAAAGGTAGAAAATGTTTTGTTTAGGAAACTCGAAATGTCATGTAAAGCACATGCAAGAAGCAGGAGTAATGTACCCGGTTTTGCTTTAATTAAAACAGAAAATTATTAGTTGTGTCGCACAGTGTTATTTTTATTGATTTTAATCAAAATATTTAGTTAGGTAAAGAAATAATTTTGATTTTTTGTGTGTGCAAAAAACACTATTAGTATGGTTGATTTAATCAAAGCAACTCAGGATATTTAAAGCCGGCTACTCTGTTGGTATTCAGTACCTTTCTTATTATCATTATAGATTTACATTAGACAAGGTGTCCAATTATAAGGCCAGTTTATATATTCACAATAAACACTTCAAACTTGAAACCTTAGACAAGGAGCACTTGGTTCTACACGATATTCTATACTACTTAATTCTGAATACAATAATTTAGGCTTAACATGGGCAGAAAACTGTTAACATAAATTCCCGTTTTACTAGACAGGGATCTTCCTTTAATCTTGTTCTAATTTCCTTTGTCTTTATAGATGTCTGTTTAATGTGCATGCTATTTCGCAGTATGTTTATATGCATGGAGTTCAGTGCTCACTGCAGAGGTACATAGATGAAACAGGCTACTGACCTGTTCGTTGGATGGCATGTACTTTTATGGTGATAGAAACATCTTGTATCGTGTTGATCGAGTAAATATTTCGGTCGAGCTCACGTTTTGATCATGTTTGATACTTTGTAATCCAGTAATCCACACCACTGAATTTAGACACACATCTTAACTTTAAGTGGTCAGGGGAGAGAAGGGGGAAACACAGTAAATGGAAGCAGTGCTTGAAAGGAAACACCTTAGTTAGTAATAGTCAGGAGATAAGAGGGAGGGTACACAGTAAATGGAAGCAGTGCTTAAAAGCGTTACAATTAACTGTATACATGTTAGTTTCAGAGTTTGTTTCCAAAATTTCATTATATACTTCTTTCACTAGTTGAAGCAGAACCTGAGATTACCTCGAAAATGGGCCACTCATCGATTTTAGAAGCCTGTATACAGTTTGGTATGCAAACATTAAATCTCGTTTCCACGGCAATTGAATCCTGAAGTAGGGATCCAATAGAAAGTTTTCTCAAGAGCGAGCCAGTGTAAATCGTGTTATCAATACACAATTAAATCAAACGGTTCTATGATGAAGAATCCGGATTAAATGACGTTATCTAGCCTTTACTGCTTCCATTTACTGTGTACCCTCCCTCTTTTATCTCCTGACAATTACTAACTAAGATGTATGTTTGCTTTTAAGCACTGCTTCCATTTACTGTGTACCCTCCCTCTTATCTCCTGACAATTACTAACTAAGATGTATGTTTGAAAATGATCCATATAATTAATGTCAAAGTTTATAGCATAACCAAGGACATCACTATGACTTGTCTAAGCCTGGACAACTATTTCTATAACTTCTTCTGATCTTACTTTTATGTTATACTTTAACTTCGTTTTTTTTTGTATTTTTTTATCTATCTTATCATTCTACTCCATGCCCATCTCATTGTTTGTCTTTTCTTGTCATTCTCTTGCTATATGTTATACACCCTTTGCACACACGCTAATTAACCCTCATTAACGCACCTTTGAAAAGTTTTGTTGCGGAAAATCTGGGGCTCAACCGAACATCTGGGGTTCAACCGGACGCCAGCACAAAATTACCATTATAGTAAGCTCTGGATTGAAATTCCAAAAGCCATTTGCATTACAGCTTTTATTAGGGTTAGCATGCAATGTGAACAACATAAAAATATATGTATTATAGAAGAAATATGTTGGCAAATCAAGAAATTACAAAACTAAATTGTTTCCAGTATGGTGATTCTCGGATAGGGGAGGCTGCTTTACATGATAGCATTATAGTGTTTAAATAAGGGGTGGTGTTAGCAAGGGGAGGATGCTTTATAATATGATTACGGTTATTTGATAAAGCAAGATTCTTTACATAATAACCCTGATAATGAGTAAATTTTCTTTCTTCCCCAGTCTTACTGATGTCTCTCTCTCTATGGTTGTTATTGATTAAAATTACTGATGTCAGATGAACATCAAAAACAGTAATCCTGTAGCCTCTAATAGTGGCGACCTCTGTCAGTGCAATGTTTTTTCTGGCAGCAGTTGCGCTACAGTGTATTTGAGATCCGTATGACTTATTTTATTCCATACCTGGTAACATTTAAGCATTTTTTCCCAGATTATCTCCTTAGAGTGCTCATTAAGGCTAGGTTGTTTTAAGCACAGAACTACACAATGTGCTGTATGTGCTCTGTCCCCTACAGGTATCGAAACTCGGTTTTCAGTGTTTTAAACCTGTAGTCTTACTGCTGAGCTATGGATTATAAAAGTGTACACAAGCAGGTTGAATCCATATACGAAAGTTCCTACTTTGTAAATCTGGTAAAACAGGAAATTTTGTGGCGAGGCTATCCGCACCCTTTTATGGACGAAATATTGGGCAGGTTGGTCATTCGTGTTCGAGTTAGACCCCCATAATAAGATGGTTTTTCTAAAGATTAACTAGCCATATAATGTGAGTACAGTCGATGCAGACCTGCAGGTGTTTCAATAGTTCTTAATGAATGTTCGTCATTCGATTGTAAGTAATTTACATGTTCCAGTTTCTTCTCGAATCGCAGCATCTGTCACGCTCTTAAGAGTTGATTTCAGTTATTCTCCTGCATGCACCCGAGAAGACCTTGGGTAGAAGGTTCATATGTTAAGCTCACGTTAATTCAATCGTTCTCTGACGTTTATCTCTCTGTTTGACGGGATAAAATATCTTAAATACTTTAATCACTGTACGTTGAAACTTTCAATCAATTCTTATATAATTAGAAGTACTGTGTTACTTTTTATAAGTGTTTACAAAATCACAGTATTTCTTTTACTTCTATATTCAAACTTATTCTTAAAAAAAGAATTTTTAAGCTGTTAACAATCGAAAAGCGTTTCTGTGCTGTTAACACCATTTCGAATTTCAGCTTAAAACAACATCAAATTTTTTTAAATAATAATGCACCGTAAGACATCAGGTAGTATTCTGTTTTAATCGAATGTAAAAATTATAATATTTAACTTTATCAAGTGTAATGTACCAAGAGATGTCACAATCAGTACATTCTTGGATTCGAAACCCAGTCAAACAAGGTGACGATACAAAAAGGGAAGATAGCTTATTACCAGCTGAGTAGCTAACCCAAAGTTATTGTTTCTTTTATTGACCCCAATTATTTGGGTGTCATATCCCAGATGTTGCTCTTGCAACATTACACTGATCAAGTTTTAAGCGTTTTAATTTGAAATGTTTTCTTAATATTACCACATATTCTAAGCTTGTAAGTTGGGTTATAAGAAAAAGATAAAACTCAAGAATTAGATCAGAAAAATATTATTCATTGTGTTTGTTAAAACTAAATATACTTTTATTATCCAATAAGATTTTAAGCTACACATTATGTAGTTTTTATTATCCAATAAGGTTTTAAGCTAGATATTAAGTAGTTTTTATTATCCAATAAGGTTTTGAACTACTCATTATGTAGTTTTTATTATCCAAAATATCTAGCTCAAAACCTTAATGTAGTTATTTATTATCCAATAAGGTTTTGAGCTAGACATTATGTAGTTTTTTATTATCCAATAAGGTTTTGAGCTAGACATTATGTAGTTATTTATTATCCAATAAGGTTTTGAGCTACACATTATGTAGTTATTTATTATCCAATAAGGTATTGAGCTACACATTATGTAGTTATTTATTATCCAATAAGGTATTGAGCTACACATTATGTAGTTATTTATTATCCAATAAGTTTTTTCGTTTAAGATATTAGAATTGTTTTTTTTATTTCACGTGGAATTCGGAATAAAAGCCTAATTTGTTTTCTTTAATGATCAAGAATGTTCGTGGATTTTATGAATTTGTTTATTATTGTTATTATTATTATTGAAGAAATGTTTTGTTTTTTTCATATTTTCAGACTGAAATTACGAAAAGGCTGAACATCATCATGGCCCAAATACTCCCGTTTTTGTCCCAAGAGGTTAGTGATAAATATAGTTGATGTGTTAAAAACTAAATAAAAGTTAGCATTAGTTTTAATGCTGTGTTGTTTTAGATTTCCATATTTAACTAAAGGCATTTTAAAATAGAAGCAATGTAAAAAATGAAGAGTAAGTGATTAATAAAGAACTCTGGAGATAATTCATTAAATGAATATACGTATAGATCCAAGCTGTAATATTTTATAATCACTGTAAATATGCCCAATTGTGTAGATTGATAGGTACATTGATCTTGTATTTCTAAGGTCATATTTATTTTTAAAAACTGATGGGTAGATTTTTTTCTCTCTCTCTACAATTCATCTTATTTTGTTGTTCGTTGAAGCTCGACCTCAATGTGACCCAGTGGTAAGCATGCTGGACTGTAGATTTTCAAGTCCAGGATTTGTGTCCCGTTAACGCCAAATAAAAATATAAATATATCGCGCTCTGCACTTTGGGGATATGGGTGCGTATGAAGATTGACAGTCAAATCCCACTGTTTGGTCTGACAAGAATTAACTGTAGGTAGTGTTGACTAGCTGCTTTCCCATTAGGCTACCGCTTCATATTTACGGACGGCTAGCGCGAAATTTAACAAAGAAACAAACATTGAACCTCACGAGGTATTAACCGCCACGTTCAGAAGGTTCGGTTGAAGCTCACGAGACATTAACTACCACGTTCAGAAGGTTTTGTTGAAGCCACGAGACATTAACTACCACGTTCAGAAGGTTTAGTTGAAGCCACGAGACATTAACTGCCACGTTCAAATGGTTTGGTTGAAACCCAAGAGACTTTAACTGCCACGTTCAGATGGTTTGGTTGAAGCTCACGAGGCATTAACCACCATGTTCAGATGGTTTGGTTGAAGCTCACAAGGCATTAACAGCCACATTCAGATGGTTTGGTTGAAGCTCACAAGGCATTAACCGCCACGTTCAGATGGTTTGGTTGAAGCTCACAAGGCATTAACAGCCACATTGAGATGGTTTGGTTGAAGCTCACGAGGCATTAATCGCCACGTTCATATGGTTTGGTTGAAGCTCAGTAGGTTTGATTCGGTTCCCTTACGTCTACAATTTTATATTTTCACTGATGGTTTACTTCTTTCACTGAAACTCTGAACTTTCCGTATACCAAAATACTTCCAATATTGACCAAGAGTCAACAGTGTCTCGGTCAAGTAGTTTTTTTTTCGATTTTGTTCTGATAAAACGCGTTCTTATACTCGACCGTGTACGCTGGAGCAGACATTAGGGTTACTTGCATCTGTTGTGAAGAGTGTTTCTTTTCTAGATTTACTGTTGAAAGTAGAATGTGGACGTTTCAGCTAGTCATGTAGTCTCGCAGAATGTACAGAAACTGTATATCTGTTTATCTACTTACCAAATGGTCGGAGAACTAGTGGTTCTTAAGATAAAGGATCTTTAACTGTGCTTAACAGGTGAGCTTATTTCAAAAGAATGGAATATAAAAACATTTAACAACTACCGATTAAACCTATTGTTTTAACTTTTTCTCTAGTTACTGTACATGATGTAATACAGTCAATATATTTCACCATATTCTCCCCAACTTCAGTTCACGGTTTTTAAATTACTGGTTACATGACCCGCTCTGAGAACAAAGATGCTTTCTGGCAGAGTTCTCCGTTTCTTGTGAATTATGTTGAAATTAAAATAAATAATGTTGTGAGATTAATTCTTACCCTAAATCTCTAATTTGTAAATGATTTGAATAAAATTATAAATAGTTACAATTCTAGAATTGAATTTTTTAGACCAAAGCCACAGTGATCTAGCTATCTACTGTATCCCCCTCGGGGAATCGAATCCCAGATTTTAGCTGTCTCATCAGAGGACAAATCACATCGTAACAGTTTTTGTTTGTAGTAACTGTCTGATGAGCCATGGTATTGGACGAATGACCTCTTAGGCACTGGATATGGTAGATGTAGTGGGGTTGATATTATATTTTCATTTGCTTTCACATACGGGTTTTTGGAATTTCTGTGGTCATGGTTACAGTATAAGTTCTCTCTCCGGCGTATTTCTTCTCTTGTGGTCGAAGCTGTTGTCATAGCTACAGTTTCACTTCTCGCTCCAGCATGCTTACTTGTATGTGTAGTGTATATAGTTGGTGTAGTTATATAGCTTTTACACTTTCAGCATTTGTGTTTTGTAGATAGTGTTTCATTGTTGCTATTGTCATAGTTACAGTTTCACTTCCCACTCCAGCGTGGTTACTTGTATGTGTAGTGTATATAGTTAGTGTAGTTATATAGCTTTTACACTTTCAGCATTTGTGTTTTGTAGATAGTGTTTCATTGTTGCTGTTGTCATAGTTACAGTTTCACTTCCCGCTCCAGCGTGCCTACTTGTATGTGTAGTGTATATAGTTAGTGTAGTTATATAGCTTTTACACTTTCAGCATGTGTGTTTTGTAGATAGTGTTTCATTGTTGCTGTTGTCATAGTTACAGTTTCACTTCCCGCTCCAGCGTGCCTACTTGTATGTGTAGTGTATATAGTTGGTGTAGTTATATAGCTTTTACACTTTCAGCATTTGTGTTTTGTAGATAGTGTTTCATTGTCGCTGTTGTCATAGTTACAGTTTCACTTCCCGCTCCATCGTGTTTAATTTATAGACAGTGACCGCAGCTGCTGTATTCACGGTTACTGATATTTAATCTTCAGAATGTCTATTTTACAAATAGACTGGAGTTTGTGTAGTAGCTGATATATATATACATATATTTTATGTTTAGAATGCTTGTGTTATACTAATATGATTGTGGTTGTTTTATTCATACTTTAGATCATACTATACGTAAATAACTGTTGACGTTAAGACAGCAGTAGAACTTGTGCGATACAGTACATTTGAAATGAATCAGCTCTGAAGTTAACTGGCTTACAATGGTAAAATCATGGGTTAGATTCCTTAGAACAATTGCTCAGTGACAAGGTTCGTGTTTATGTATGGTTTCTCCCAAGACCCCAACACCAACAATTGCTCTGTGATAAGTTTGTTTGTTTAAGAGCAAAGCCATATTGGACTATCTGTATGTTAGCGTTGTAAGTCTGTTACCATACCACTGTCCCACCGGGGAACACCAGCAGTAAGTCTGAAGGCTTACAACGATAAAAGTCGAGTTTCAATATCCATGGTGGGCACAGCACAGATAGCCCATTGTGTAGCTTTGCACTTAACAATAAACAAAACTCTCAAGACTACTTTCAGTAATAAACAGGAGATATAGAGACTATAATATCCCAGGCGGCTGAGTCATCAAATAATTAGATATCAATTGTAGAAGTCAAAATACGGGACCAAACGATGGGGTGGGAGGAGTGCACCAACATGTACGGAATCACTTGTATCCCCACCGTAACGAACCACAGAAGTTATATAACGTGGGCTCTGTCACTACCTCTACATCAGAGAATAATTGTCTGTAAAAAGCTGTGTTAAAAAAGATACAAGGTTTCGTGTTGAAGGTAAAACAGTAAAAAACCTGTGTAGTCTTTCTCTCTATTCACTTGTCTCTCTATTTTGTCTTTTTGTCAATTTCTGTTAAAGATATGTTAGCAACATTTGTTGTTGATAGATAAAATTTCAATTGATCATATGGATGAACACAGAGAGTTAATTTTTGGCACATTATTGGTATGCACGTGATTAGCTAAATGATTACGTGCTGATTTGCCGTGAAATTTCAGCGATGGTTTCAGTTTTGTTTTAACCTCCTAGTTTTCCATTGTTAGTCGAGACAACAAGCGTGCGTGCTAATAGTCTGATTCAAATATGTACTTTCGATCTGTGCAGGTTTGGGTTGTTCTGTAAGTTTGAAACTCAATGTTCTATATTTTTCAGCATCAGCAACAAGTAGCTGTTGCAGTGGAGCGGGCCAAACAAGTCACCATGACGGAACTGAATGCAATAATTGGGGTAGGTTATAACTAACTTTCCTCTCTCCATGTGCCACGTTTGATCCCTGTTTTTATGTAATAAATATATCGAAACAACAATTATTATTGTAAAGTGCATTTTCTTCTAACACTTCGGATTAAGATCTTTATATATTTTTACCTTGGTAATTAAATACACTATAGATGACGCCACCAGGTTATGCTAAATAAGTAAATTTTTGTCCAAATTTGTTGACTCGAAGTATGACGCCTTGTAATATCTATCATAGTTTGTTGCTTCGTTTTTTATTTCTCTTTGTTATCAAATCCAGAAAGTGTTGATTTTACCACCAGATGAACACTTCAGTTATCAACAAATTCAGAAAGTGTTGATTTTACCACCAGATGAACACTTCAGTTATCAACAAATCCAGAAAATGTGGATTTTACCACCAGATGAACACTTCGGTTATCAACAAATCCAGAAAGTGTTGATTTTACTACTTTCCTTTAAGATTGTAGCAGAGTAACGTGATGAGGTAGCAGGACATGGTACACTTGTATCTCATTATGTAACATGTTCATGTTGTAGCGGAGTAACGTGACAAGGTAGCAGGACAGACTACACTCGTATCTCATTATGTAACGTGTTCATGTAGCAGAGTAACGTGACAAGGTAGCAGGACATGCTACACTCGTATCTCATTATGTAATGTGTTCATGTTGTAGCGGAGTAACGTGACGAGGTAGCAGGACATGCTACACTCGTATCTGATCATGTAATGTGTTCATGTTGTAGCAGAGTAACGTGACAAGGTAGCAGGACATGCTACACTTGTATCTCATTATGTAACGTTTTCATGTTGTAGCGGAGTAATGTGACGAGGTAGCAGGACATGCTACACTCGTATCTGATTATGTAATGTGTTCATGTTGTAGTGGAGTAACGTGACAAGGTAGCAGGACATGCTACACTCGTATCTGATTATGTAACATGTTCATGTTGTAGCAGAGTAATGTGATGAGGTAGCAGGACAGACTACACTCGTATCTCATTATCTAACGTGTTCATGTAGCAGAGTAACGTGACAAGGTAGCAGGACATGCTACACTCGTATCTCATTATGTAACGTGTTCATGTAGCAGAGTAACGTGACAAGGTAGCAGGACATGCTACACTCGTATCTCATTATGTAACGTGTTCATGTAGCAGA